TCTGGGTTCATGAGTGGCGACATTGATGACCTGTTCGATGAGCAAAGCAAGCCTTTCAAATTGGAACCTACATCGCAGCCGGCGTCACGCCCAATACCGAGAGCCTCTGACCGGCAAAAGATCCCCGGCGTTCTCATCCATGAGCTGAGACAAACTCGGCCAGCGTCGAGCGATGTCGAGATGGTACTCCATGCGGATTCTCAACCGCCCTATGCGAGTAACGCACGTCCGACGCTTCCGTCCCCTGCCCCAACATATGGACCTCCTGCCCATCCATACAGACCACCTGCGCCGCCGGCCTCGCTGAATCGGTCAAAAAGCGATTCGCACGCACTCATGGCACCGCCGGCTGCACAAGTAGGTTTAAAAGATCCGTCGCCACAGCTAGAGGAGCCAGCTGTGGCGGTTGACAGAGACATGGCAAAAGCCGCACCTGCTGCTCCGACCCAGGAAACACCCATGCCATCAGTGGAGGATCAGGGTGACAACGGACACCCTGTTCATATTCAACAGATGATCACCTCCCAACGACCTCTCGACGAAAGGCAGTCCACGGAAAGCAGGACCCCTTCGGAGAACCAAAGACCATCCGCACATCCCACGGAAAACCCTGCACCACAAGAGCAGGAGCTCATGCAGCGCCTAGCAGCTGTTGCGAGGGATGCTTCGGAGTCAGAAGGCTCGCTGCCTCCCGCCAGCACAGCGATTGATCTGTTCGCCAGACCACTGCCGCCAAATGCCAGGCAGCACTCTCGCCCAGCCACGACCACGTCCCAACCGCAGCTGGCCGCAATCCCAGCCAGCGATCCCATCGGCTCGCTTGCACTCCCTGGTGCAGTGGATACTTCGTTTTCCGAGGCGCCCGCCCCAAAGTCTCCAAAGTCGCCTCGGTCCAACAAGAATCTTGTGAAGAAGGCAGTGATTCGGCTGCGACTAGAGGAAGCGATTGCCGCTGGTCAGATGCCTGCATACTGCACCAACTGTGGCGCCATTGAGACACCCACTTGGAGAAAGATCTGGACGCAAGAACGATTTGGGGTCCCCGAATTTTGCGAGTTTTCCGAGAAGCCTGGCAAGATCACTGCCATCATTGTCCTGGAGCGCGATATGGACGACAACCCCAGCAAATATCAACTGATCAAGAAGGGACTAGGTGAGAAGGACAACAAGGAAGAATGGGTCGAGTCTCTGCTCTGCAATCCTTGCGGCATCTGGCTTGCGAAGTGGAAGATCCACCGACCACCCGACAAGTGGGATCGTGGCCAACAGCCAAAGACCCGGCGACGGGGTCGTGCCACGCGCAATCCTAAGCGTTCCAAGGGTGCTGCTGAAGCTACGTCAGAAGCGGCCTTTGAAACCGACCCTGCTGGCCCTGAAGGCATGGACGGCCCCTCCGAAGACAACAGCAAAACGTTGCACGTGGCCTCGGTGGACGACACAAACTCGCGGGAAGCTTCCCTGGCGCTTGAGCAAGCCTTGCGGAACGACCTCCTTTCGCCAGCAAAGCAACATCGCTCACGGCATGGCTCGACACACTCTCGAGGAAGCGGCACAGCGAAGAGTCCAATTATGGTGGGGGCGAGTGCGGAAGAGGCCATAATGGGAGCGACACGTCGTCTCTTATTCCCTTCGCCCCGTAAGGATGGGCAAGTGAAGGTGCTCAACGAGGTGGCCATCAACGTTATTCAGCTGGATGCGTCTGAGGTCGAGACCAGAGATCGTGATACCAAGGGGCCCAGGGCTCCGCAGCAACACGGTCAACTGACCGTCCCTGATGATGATGATGAACTTGAGGCTCTTTTCCGCAGTCCAATGGCTCGACCTTCGACCCCCCCTACGCAAGATGGCAACCATCCAGGACCGTTCAAGACCCCTACACGGCCAACTCCGAGTCATCGCCCCGTCACGCGCAGCATCTCCAAGTCCATCAAGTCGGGCCGTTCCCGCCCTTCTCCAGCGCAAGCACTAGCTATGCTCCAAGCCACGCCTACTCGCACACCGCGTTCGCTTGCTCGTGTCTTGGGAGGCGAAAGTCCGAGTCTGAGACGCAGCCCAAGGTTCACGGGACACGACGATCTTACGTTGGCGTTACTCGAAACCCCCATGACCCGTTCGATCAGCCAGATGCTCTCCGACTACGGGGTTGAGGACGACGGCCTCGGCTTTGGCAGCATTGCAGGCATGCCAGAGCTAGAAGGCCTTGATGACATACCCTTTGACTTCGGCAGCTTGCTCGGTTCCGATGCCACTGCAGCCAGCTCGCCTTCAAAGGCCAAGCGTGGAACCGGGTTCGACTATGCGGGCACTGATCACATGTGGACCGAGTGGAACAAAGGGGCTACCACAGAGCCGCAGGAGTGAGATAGGGGTCGTTATGAGACGAGGGTTATGAAAGGCATCACACAGCTCGCAGAGCAGATAAGCTGTTGTTTCAGCGTTTTGAGCGGCCCCTTCGTGGGCATTTATTGTTATTTTCTTGTCCTTTTGAGCGGGACTTGGCTTGGCGCGGATCTTGGCTTGCTCAGTATATTTGGTAGACTCTCAGCATGAACAGCGTGCGTGCGTGCATGGAGGATATCGTCGTTTTGGAGGCAGGACGTCTCAACACTGGGACACAGTCGTTGCAGACCGTAGAGTAGTAGTAGTAGTAGTACATGAGCTTGATCGTCACAATACAAGATTAACTCATGATTCTTTTTTGGGAAGTCGGTGATGACCGTGACTTGATATGTTGATGCGATAAACAGGTCACGCGTCTTTCGAGTCTGCAGTTGACCCAGCGAACACGGTGGTCACATGGTTGAGCCTGGTGGGAAAAAAAAGGAAGTCTTCTATACCGGCACTCCCGAGAATGCCTCCATCTACACCTAGATGATGGCACATATGATACACAAATACACGTAGTTCTACACAACCACCCTTTGCCCTTCTTCTCTCTCTCTTCGTCTCGCGTCCCCTCCCGCTCGCTGCCCTTTGGTTCCAGCCTTGCACCTCGCCCAGGACCGGCGGCAGCACCACGTCCCGAGCACTGCCCCCACTCAGCAAGGGCCGATGCTGCTGCTGCTGCTGCTGCGTCCGGCGAGGGCAGCCGTCTCTCAGCCGCGCTTGCCGTTGCCGTCGGCGCGCTTCTTGACGATCCAGCCCTTGGCGTTGGACAGGCCGCGGATGCGCTTGGTGTACTTCCAGAGGTGGCGGTACTTGGGGCCCTGGCGCTTGGCCTCCCAGCCGCGCGGGGCCTTGGGGGGCTTCATGCTGTAGACGCGGTTGGGGCGGAACTCGACGTCGGCGCCGGGGACGCCGGCGCGGTGCATGACGTCGGCCGTGTGCTCGTCCCAGACGGTGCGGAAGAGGGTGAAGCCCGTCGGGGTCAGGGCGAACTTGTCGCGCAGGGACTTGAGGGAGAAGCCGGTGGCCGGGGCGGGGCCGGGGGCGGCGACGGTGGAAGAAGAAGAGGAGGAGGAGGAGGAGGACGACTCGTCGGTGACGGTCTTTTTGCTGTACTGCGCGCGCAGGGCGGCAATGTCGAGGGGCTTGTTGCCTGGCTGGTCGAGGATGAAGATGGCGAGGCGGTGGTAGGGCGCGCCCTTTTGGGCAAAGGCGGGGAGGTAGGGGACCGCGATGTGGGCGTCGCGGTTGAGGCGGCCGAGGGGCAGCGAGGGGTCGGTCGGCGAAACGGGAATGTTGGCGGCGAGGAAGTGGCAGCGCTTGGAGAAGGCGTCGGACTCTGTGTCGGGGACGTCGGGGTCAACGATGGCGACGGTGACGAGGCGCTCGCCGGCGTCAAAGGGCTGGACGCGCAGGCGCGGGGCGACCTCGGTCAGGTTCGAGGGCAGGATCTTGCCGGCGGGGATCTTGGAGCGGCGGAAGTGCAGCTCGACGTCGTATGTGGGCGTCAGCTTGGGGAGGATGTCGGGGGTGATGTGGAACTGGCTGATACGCTGCTCCACGATCTTCTTGTTGTAGCCCTCCCAGCGGCGCTTGGCGAGGTAGCGGTAGATGGGTTTGCTCATGTCACCTGCGGGGGGTGGGCCTGTGTCAGCTCTCGAGCCGACAACGGCAGAGATGAATACGTTGGGAAAAACATACCGAGTCCGTCCTCGAACCGCCTCTTGACGGCGGGATCGTTAATGTCGGCCTGGATCTTGAGATGCTCAATGTGCCTCCTAATGCTCTCGAGCTTCATCTCCCTCTTCTTCTCGCCGCCCCTGAACAGCGCGACGTCGGTCTCGCGAATCTTGCGCATCTTCTCCACCTCGGCAGCAATGGCTTCGACCTTCTTCTGGCGATCGAGGGCGAGGATCTTGCGCGCCTCCTGGAAGGCCTGGTAGGGCAGCTGCTCAAAGGGCAGGTTCTGCGAGGTGCGAATGGCATAACGACGACGGCGAGAGCCCACAGGCGGTGTGCCGGCCTTCCAGAGATCCTTCTCGGCCCAGGGCGCGACGGCCGTGTTGGGGTCGAGCTCGAGGGGGTCGGGGGTGTCCTCGGGGCGCTCACCGAACGACCTTGTAGACTTCTGCTGGGGCCGAGGGCGTGGTTGTGAAAGGGACGCAGCTGGAGAGCGTCGTGCCGCAGACATTTGGCCAGTTGCCTCGCGGCCTGCCGGCAGGAGGACATGGTGTGTGATAATGGTGAGGAGAGCCAATTGGTGATGCACCCCTTGACGGCTGGCGGTCCTTTCTGCGAGACGGGATGATGGGGGGATTTCCGTTAGGGAACTGAAAAATGAAGCTTCAGCACACGCGACTTTGCGGGTCCCACAATAATCGCCCACGGCATCTGTCCATTGGATCAGGGGCTCCATCCTTCCCGGCCTCGGATTATCCCGCTGGAGCTGTCTGCAGCCAGCCAGCCTCGTGCTTAGGTAACGCAAAGGAGTCGGTCGAGCCAGGCCAAATTTTCGACAGCGGCTCGTACTGGTGAAGCATTCGAGGACACCATCGTCAATCCGACCACGACGACGGCCACAGATACGGGCAGACGAAGCCCAATCACATCAAACAATGGCAGGGAAGGGCATTCGAGGTCTCCATGAGGCCATGACGAGGTTGAACCTGTCGGCGGGTGTCACCAAGTCGGCGAGCACGACCTTCACGCGATCCATGGCCACCGAGGTGCCTCTGCCGCAGATTACAACCACCTTCAAGGCCGCCCCCAAGATCTCCACCGACGCCTGGGCACCACGTACGTCTCTGGTCTTCTGGAGACGTTGACGAGACTGCCAAACGCGCTGGCTAACCCGTCTTGCAGTATCCACCGTCCCCGTCACGATCCACGCCTTCCCGACCCTCGCCCCCCGCGCCCTCGAGTCCTACTCTACAAAACACCTCTACCTCCCGCTCCGCCGCGACCTCCTCCACCTCGCCGTCATCTACGAGGGTGACGCCCACCGCCAGGGCACGGGCTCGACCAAGACGCGCTGGGAGGTCCACGGCTCGCACCGCAAGGTGCACCCGCAAAAGGGCCTCGGCCGCGCCCGCGTCGGCACGAAGCAGTCGCCCATCCGCCGCGGCGGCGGCGTCTCCCACGGCCCCAAGCGCGCGACTTCGCCACGCGCCTCAACCGCAAGGTCTACGACGTCGCCTGGCGCACGGCCCTCAGCTACCGCTACCGCCGCGGCGAGCTCCTCGTCTGCGAGGACGGCATGGAGCTGCCGCTGCCGCGCGACTTCACCGACCTCCTGCTCGCCGGCTACGTCGACGAGCCCGTCGCCCGCCAGTACCGCCGCAAGTGGACCGAGCAGGTCCTCGCCGCCAACGCCTGGGGCCGCGCCGACGGCCGCACCCTCTTCATCACGGCCGACAAGAGGCCGCTGCTGTTCGACTCGATGGTCGACGCCGGCATGCACGGCCGCTGCCTCGAGGTCGGCGACGTCGACGTCAAGGATTTGCTCGAGGAGGGCCGCGTCGTCATTGAGCGCGCCGCGCTGCGCGAGCTGCTCGAGAGCCACCAGAGCGATCTCGTCAGCAAGATTCTCATCCGCGGCCTCGCCCAGTCGGGACCGGCCATTGGCGAGCCCATCGTCGCATAAGAGAGAGAGAGAGCGAGAGAGAGAGGAGAGAGTGCGCAGCAAGGGGGCGCGATCATGCACACGCGAATCGCATGACGACGAGTGTAGCAAGCAGCACGTGGCATTTTTATTGTACCATTACACGGCACGAGGCATAGTACGTTGGGCCGCCAAGGAGAAGACCTCATACGGTCTGGCCTGTTGGAGAGTAGGAGGGAGGGGCGGGGGTCTTTCGAAATGACATGTGCGTCGTGTAGGAATAGAGGACTGACTATACGTCCCTTGTACAACTTCACAGCGCGTAGTCTCCCATCGTGATGCTCACGTGCCTACCTGATTTTCGCCCACGAGCACCTTCACTTTGTCTCGAACAAGCCATGCATGCATGCCCTTTCGTCAGCGGTCGACCTTGTGTCGAGCCCCTTTTAGCTTCCAAGATCGAGATACGTCGTCAGCTTGTCGTCAGACCCGACCCGAGCGCCGACGAGAGAGCACGCCCACAGCGTCCCCATTGTTTGCCTGCCGCGAGGACCTCCCCAAAAGAGGACCTCTTTAAAAGAGGACCTCCCCCCAAGAGAGGCATGACACAACGGCACCAAAAAAACCAAACCATCAAGGCGATTCGTCCATGAGCCATGAGACAATGCATCCCCGGGGGCGGGTGTCGTCTAAATCTGCCCCCCCCCCCCTAATCGCGATCGCAACGCGGCCGCCGATCGCCGTCCACGATCTCGCCCGAGTCATGACCGGGCCAATGAGACGTCGCCAGATCAGGGGTTGCTTGGGGGTTCACCCCGACCTGCCTTATGACGAGCTTACAGGGTCGGCGTGAGGCGTGGCAGCAGGCGCGCGCCATCATTCAAAAAGGCCGCTTGCTGGCGCTTTTGACGAACGTGCTTCATTTTCTGTGCCGAGACTCTTGCGCTACGCCCTGTCCTCTCGCCCCGTGTCAGATGCGCCGCCGGCTGCCTGGGGGCATCGCTTGGCGGTGGGTGGGAATGGGGCCGATGACGTCTACAGGGCCCCGATTTCGTCTGCATTGCAGCAATTCCATGGCATGGAAGCCCGTCACTCGTGCACCAGACCTGATCCAGCGTATAGCATGGAAGCAGAGAGTTCATGAGCCGCCGACATGGAAAATAAGTAGAGCCACCCTGCTAACAATACCCAGAAACGCCTTTCCATTCATACAAACTCGTCCCTCAAAGGATCCCTATTTCGTCCTCGTCTCCGTTCGAGACGACCCGTCAATTGTTGTACCCTACGTTCAAAGAACACCTCCCTACGAAGATCCCCCTTATCGAGGTCCTCTGGGTACCCCATTCCAAACCTGGAATTCTCATCGAAACGCTAAAACGCCATGGATACCAGGTCCAGAGGCCACTGACTGGTACCGTTTCCCTCTTGCGCCGGCTGACACCAACTCCAGTGTCGTGGTATACGTCTTTTCAACCCCTCCAGCCTGAGTCCGAGTCCAGTGGTCGAACGTTGTCACGTGCCTATTGGCCGTACTGCTTTCTGCTTCGTCATTCTGTGTTATTTCCTTTTGTGCTTTTACGCCCGGAGATTGGTGCTGCGAATATGCGTCGCCTTGCGAGCTTGGCCTCGATCCTAGGCTCACGAGGTATCTTCGAAGATGCTGTCCGGCATGTGATCATAGTTGATATGCCCGCCTCCCACAGCGCCAGAGGTCACCGCCGCCAGATTTGGATCCATGGGCATGGAACCCATTGATAGATGAGTTGGAGGCCCCGCTGCAATTCAAGGCACTCGCATCAGTTCCCATAACTCGGACGGATGAGGGGGTGGTTGGTCAGAGACATACCCAAGTGGTCAGGAGGCAGGGTCATTGCCCCTGGAGGCAGCTGCTGCTCGGAGGGCAAAGTGGCCCCGTGAGCCGGGTTGAACCTCTTGCTCGAGTTCTGCGCAAACCGCCTCGCTTCAGCCTCGAGCCAGAGGTCAATGTTGCGGTCGTTGCAGGGTGCGTGCGACATGAGCTGATCCTTGAGCCTGGTGATTTTCGCCCAGCAGCCCATTGTACTCGGCATGCAACTGCATGTTGTGGATTCTCCAGTTCCTGCTTTGTGTCCTGCAGTTCACTCATCCTACTCCCTTTTCTTCTGTCGGCATTTGGCTCGCGTCCACTTCGATTTTCTCTGCAAGAAAATATCTACGCCTTGGGATCGTCTTGCGTAGACGGCACGAGCTGCCGAACTCTTCTTCGCTTGTGCTGCTTTTTCGGAAGCGCTGGAGGAGGTTCGGCAGAAGGGTCGGTCGATCTGCTCGACGCCTGTACCAGAGCGGGAGGCGTCGACCGCTGTGTGGAAGACGCCTGCGAGTCCACCGTGGCTGTCGAGCCCCGGGTGTGTCTTTGGGACCGGCGGTTCCTCAGATTCATCGTGTCGGTTTCCAATTTTGGTTGTGCAGGGTCGTCTTCGATGTTCGATGCTGTCCTTTTGCGCGGAGCTCTTTGAAGCCTGCAGTTGTGCCGCCAGCAGTACCTCGTTTGGTTGGTTGAGGAAGAATGTGGTATCGTCGACGCCTGGTTCTGTCTTGAGGCCGGGTATGCTTTCGGTGTCGAAATATCCGTCGCGGCCCGGATCGTCGTATGCCGCTTCGTTGAAAAACTGGGAAGGAGTGTCCATGGGGGGCTGTAAGCGCTGGGCCTTACTGGGGCAACAAAGTCTGTCGTTGTTGAAGATGGCGAGGACCAATCTCTGCGACCAGAATTGGACGCTCGAATGCAGTTGGAATATCCTCAACGTGACACGAGACAGGCTGAAGGAGCGGCACAGCACAGCCTTGTCAAGAGCCACGGGCGTGCTGAGACGGTCACGGAGCCAACTCAGTGGTCGAGCGTTCGACTCGAATGGCTCACCAGTGGAAAGACCTGAGGCGCAATTAGCAAAACGAATGATTTGCTGGTCGACAATGGCAAAGAGTGCCCGCACAAGTGAGGGGTCGCGGCGACAAGTCGGGAGCAAGACCTAGATGCAAATTGGCAACGACGAAAGGGAATGCGCAGTGCGAACGACAACACAAGAAAGGGCACGACTGGATGGGTGAGGAGGAGGAGTATTCCACGGCGCAGAAGACGGGCAGAGCAATGCAGCGCACAGCATGCACCCAGGGGAAGCAAGTGATACGCGGAACACCGTTTGCGCTTGGGATGAAGTGGGCTCGCTGCCACGCTGAGGCGGGGGGGGATGTCCAGATCACCCCGATGCGGATGCGCAGTGAGACAAGTCGACCATGGCGACACATACGGGCCAAGCTTTCGACTCAAGGGGTGCAGGCAGGGCAATTGAAGATGAGGCTGGCACGTGTGGGCAAACAGACTTTTGCTCCCCAAAGGCAACAAACAATGCTGGCGACCCGAGTTCGTGCGGCGCAAGGAGAGGGGAGCAAAATACGGGCAGGGTGCTGTACCGTACCTGTTTGGTGATGGATCGGAGTCAAACCCGGGCCCGCGGCTGGGCGTATGACCAGTTCGCGGCAGCGGTACGACGGCGCTGTGAAGGATCAAGTCAAGAAGAGTAGGAGGCGACTGCAGCGAAATCGAAGGGCAAGGAAAGGTTGGCATGCGGCTCGGCGACCTGGATGCGGGAAAGGTCCCTGGAGACAGCGGGAGGGTCGTCGTCGCAACGATTGCTGTGATGCGAGGGCTTCGTGCTCGATGTGATCAAGGGCGCGGCTGATGGATTCAGAGAGAGGAGGCCGGGGAACGAATAATCAACAGACCGGAGATGAATCCGTAGATGAAGAGGGAAAGATGTCGATGGAAAGTTGGAAGAGAAAGCGACAGAGATGATCAGCGAGGGGAGGGGACTTCTACTCCGTTGAAGTTGGTTTCTAATGTGGTGAACAACCTGGCAGGCGATACCTGACTCCTGCCTACCTACCTTTCTTCACTCAGGATTCTTCAGCTGCTTGCCTACCTAGGTACCTGGGTAGGTACGGTAAGGTACGGTAGCTAGGTAGACGGCCGTAATCTACCTTGAGGTACCTTACCTACCTTGCCCATCTCTCTCGAACTGCCCGTCCATTCCTTACCTAGGTATAATACGGTACGGTACCTCGTCGGCGTACCAGCTCTGGGGTGCGTCCTGCGCCCCCGACAAGTTACCAATAGGCCCAGCGCGCCAACCCGCCACCGAGTGAGGTGAGGTGGATGAGAGCTCTAGTGGAGCCATCACGCAGCCCCAAGGCGACTAACAATCAAGGCAACAGAGGGGCCAAAGACTCGAAAGGGCACATTGTGAACGGGCCCTGCAGGCGTGGACAGGAGGAAAAGCTCCGGGGGCAGCTTGGTGCTTTTGGTGCTTTTGGTGCTTTGGGTGCTTTGGGTGGAGCTGAGTAGACGGATGGATGTACTGTACACCCTGGGACTTGCAGGCTTGCGACTTTTCTCTGAGAAGCAAGTGGCTGCTGTGCCTGCTCTCGTTTCCCGCTGCGTTGAATCGAGGGGACCTTGTGCTCCTGTTCTGTTTCGGAGAGGGGTGGGTGCTCCTCGCTCTCGCCCGTCTGCTCGCTAGCGACCCGAAGCCTTAAAATGATGCACTGGGCAACCCTACCTACCGTGTTCGGACTGGCGGGCTTTGTCGCATGGGATTTCGGCGAGGGGAGGCAAAACAGCATGGGCATTGTGCTGCCGCCTGTTTGGCTGGGCTCGCTAGCTGGCTGGCTGGCTGGCTGGCTGGCTGGCCATTTTGCCACTGGGAGGGACGGCATTTAGCTCTGGCGCATAGGGAGGTACCCTCTCTTGCCTCTGTAAGGCAGTACGGGTGTGGGTGGTTGTGGGTGGTCCCCCGGCCCAAGCGTCGAGGCGCCGTCTTGAACAGTGCCCAGGGGAGCTTGGGGATTGGGGAGTCAGCGTCCAAGGGAAGCTAAGCCGCCCCCCCCCCCCACCGTAACAAGACCCATCAGGGGATGGCGAGGAACGGCTCCGGCTCGCCGTCAACGCCTCGTCTCATCAGTCCCCCATCCCAGAAACCTGCCAAGGCGCCAAAGGATGAAAGACCTGCCGTGTCGTGTGTGGTGTGCCTGGGGGCTCGAGAGGAGGGGAGACAACAGCAGCGCCTGAGCAGCCAGAGCACGCGCGTGTGGAGAACCGGAACTGGGCCGTGGCTATCCCCACCCACCCACTCACCAGCGCGCGATGGCAGTTTTATTAGTGAGCGCAACGGAGACGGGGACGGCGATGGACTCTTGCCGTCCCAAAAACGATGACCCGGACTGGTGCTGGACGCAGTCGCCGAGGACTTTGCTCCGCGAGGTCCCCACTGTACCCACCAACTCCCAGGCCACAGCGTACAGCGTTGTTTGTCTCTCCGTCTCAGCCTTGCTGTCATGGGCTCATTTGCATCCTTTTGCGTTATGCTGGCAGCTCTTGGCCAGGCATCGTGCCGTCGACTTCAAAACGGCCACGAGAGAAACCAGCCACGAAGAGACAGACGAACAAGTATCGAACAGATGTGCCTCTGACACCATTTCATCAAAAGAGAGTTTCACCTCGAGGAAAGAAATTCAGGGACCATGCCGTCATCATGACGACGCATGGGAAAGGTAGTTCTGGTCGTCGCGACGCTCACTGTTCACTGGCGTCAGCTTGTGGAGACGATCCGCTGTTCTTCTTTTTTCACACACAAGTCCTCTTCAATGGAGAGAAACCGACGAACCAGCGACGGCCGAACCGCATCGGCACGGCCGCCGTCTCCGGTTCAGGGCACTCTTGCTGTGACTGCTTCCCTGGCCTACCAACTTCCTACCTGTCATCCCGTTTTCTCCGCGGCACGGGCATGGAGACACACCTGACTAATGACAACGGAGCTGACAGGTGCCTCCCGAGCAGTCTGATCATGATGTGATAATGAGACTTCGAGGGTGCGCGGCTCTCCCATGTGGGGTGGGAAAAAGAGAGACGTGCATGGCCATCCCTCCCTGCGACCTGCGCCTAGATGTGACAGGTCGACCCTACTCCTGGCTGCGGTACCGAAGGTCCTGGGCTGCACGACATGCGACAGCGCTTTTCTGTCCTTGGATCGTCGGCCGGCTGCCAGGTTTCGCCAGGAACCGCGAGTCAAAATCAGGTGACGAGGTGACCGTGGAGGAGCCAAGGGCCCCCATTCTTCGGAGGAGGCTCGGAGACCCTGATGACGTTGTCTGCCATGGAAGAAAAAACAGCACAAA